AATGATACTAATCATAAAGAAAAAACATCAAGTATGCAAGATTAATACAAACAACTAGAGAGAAAGTAAGAAAGATTGACAAACTTGGAGATTGAGGTTTGCATAAGAAAGATTGACAAACTTGGAGGTTGAGGTTTGTATAAATGCAATGTCCTAAAGACAGAATTTCATCCATACTCTTGTGCTTATAGTTTGGTAGGTATCCGTCTCCTAGGATTCAACAATCTATAATCCGAAGTCAAAGCACTTCAATCTTTGGACTCTGACGAACTTTATATATTTTGTACTCTCAGGACACGACTCAGAGTTTGACTAACAAAGAATAAAAGACATTGGAGAAAACTCTTTTCTTCGATTCATTAGACATGTGGGATGTTTGAGTTTATATAGAACTCAAGCCACCCCTTTCGAAATATAGTGAATGTTGTCTAAAGTTCCAATGAATAGATGCAACTTATGAATTTAAATTCAACCATAACACTTGCCTCTTATTTTTCATTTATACAGAAAATAAATATTATAAATTAATATTATAATATATATTTTCCAACAATTTCAACATTTGATTGAGGACCATTATGTTGTCAAGCCTTGCTAATAAAGAAGAATGGTAGCATCAGTCGTACACGTGCTTAGGGCCAAGCATAGTTGCTCCTATTTTGGAGAACTTACAAAAATTAATGGATTGGCTCATTTAGGTATGTGCGACTGATCTTAGCATTTCTCTTCGGTGTAAACAATTGGTTTTGCCTCCTGAATGAAAATTGTAGTGCAAATTTTATTAATGCATGGATTTTTAAGCAAATTTAAGTGATTTCCACACTACTCTTTTTTCTATGCAGTCTTTCAATTTTTTTTTTTTTAGTATTTGAATTGAATAAACAAAAAGAGATCAAGAAGTGTAAACAAGAGAAGTGCCGAAAGAGAACGTGGAATGTAAAAAACACAAGTAAATTTCTTTTGTGGTGACATAGTTAATTTTGAAAGAACGTGTGAAAATCACTACCCAAAAATTGAAAGACAAAGAGAACATATTTCTCCTACAAAGCAATGCTTGCTCTTATTGACAGAGACAATTAAATGAAATTAGCAAATTGAATGAAACAATAAAGAATTGCAAGTGAGGAACAAATTAAGCCTTCAAATATTTCCATCTGATCTCAAATAATTTGAGAGCCTCACATGATCCATGGGATCTCTCTTCTTTTTCTTGAAATGCTTTGAGGCAGCTTTAAGCACCTTATTCCACACCTGACCAATAACACAAACTTCATATGCTAAATTTACTACTTCAACAATTAAGCCGTATTCCACTGAGTAGAGTTGGCTGTATGAATTCTAAAACGCAAGTGCGCTCGGCTCTACGTAAGAATTTAGAAAAAAACAAACAGAGAAACCAAAATTACGGAAGAAATTACAAAATCAACTAATTAAATTCTCAATCTTTCCCCAAAATTTCCAAAATTTAACAGAAAGAGCTTGTAAAATGTGGCCCATCTCTCAAAATTTCCCTGAATCTTAATTTGTTTTCCCAGAAAAATCTCAGATTCTCAATAAAATATGAAAAACGAAAAATCTAAGAACACAGATAAAAAAAAAAGCAGTACCTTTGATGCAATGGGGTTACAGTTAACCTTCACAGGAGTTGGAAAGAAGTCAGAGGCCAAAACCATCTTGCTTTTCTTCCTCTTCATCACCTTGTTCTTCAGAGCACTCTGATTCAGATTGAAACAAGTTGCAGTTGTGGAGATCTTCTTTTTCTTAATGCCCGAACCGGCTCCAGTGTCAACGAGGCTGCTTTTCTGATTCTTCACCTCCAACCCCATCTCGAAATTGAGCTTTCGCGGTCTCCAGAAATCCAAATCCAAGTCCATATCCAAATCCATGGGAGCGTAAGCCCGGGGGACCAACGGGGACCATATCGAGCTCTGCGTGTAGTCGAAATCAAAAGCGGAGTTGTCCGGGAACTTGCAGAGGAGCTCTTTGGACATCACTGGCTGCAGATACTCCACCACTTTGCAAGTGCTGCTCAAAGCTAAAAAACTCTCTCTCTCTTCTTCTTCTTGTTGTTTGAGTGAAGTGAGAGAAAATGCTTCATCTTCTACTGCCATTGTTGTAGGGGTAAAGCTAAGTTGGTGCTTTTTGGTCGCAAAAGATGAGAACTTTTGTGTTGGTGAAGTTTAGTTTTGGTGCTTGATATGAGCAGATATAAGGAGAAGAAGGAGAAGACAAGACAGGAAAGTTACCGTTACATTGACTATATTAAAAATGTCGAACGGCCAAAATACAATGTCGTGTCTGACCAAAAAAAAAGCATTCTGATATGTCGAATCTAGGCCCAAACATCTGATCTTTTATATTTAAGCCCAGTTTTTATTGGGTTTTCTGATATGAAAAGCCCAAAACAATTTTTTTTTTTCTCATTTGAGATTTTACATTTCTAGTTGCTCTTAAGAAATTAAGATTGCAAGTAATTTGTAGCGTGACTTTTCCACTCAAATTGTAACCCTTATTATAACACGTTAAATAATACATTACGTGGTTTGTGTTCCTAATTATAATTTTTTTTTCAAGATTACAAGTATGACCCTTCAAAATAAGGGATGTGATTTCCAAACTCACTTGTTTTTGCCCTAACCCTTGAATTGAATAAATCAAAGGGAGTCGTGTAGAAGGAGAAAATGAGGGTCAAAATTACTATTCCAACATAAAGTTATATAAAAAGAGTCTACCCATGGTGTCGTGTCAAGTGTCAAATATCAAAAAATGAATAGGCGATTGATTTTAACACTCCTCTTTTGACTACTGTAAAAAATTCGAACTGTAAAAAACTAAGAAAAGTTTAACTTGGTTATTACATGATGAGTAGTACAACCACAAGAGTTAAACCTCAATGTGTTTTACCTTAATCTTTCTCCCTAAACATGTTCACACAAATGATGTATAGTAGTTTCTCCTCTGTTTTTTCCTAGGAAGCTTGCTTTGGGGACGTTTGGGTGCAAAAGATGATGCCTCCCTCAGAAGATAAGGAGGCATCCAACGGCCGATGACATCCAGTACTAGGCTTTCAGCTACTTCCTTTGGAGGGATGTCAGGCCAAAACTCAACTCGCTGACGCTCAGTAGCAATCCTGGCTAGCAAGTTAGCAGCAAAATTGTCACCCATGGTGACCGAGCGGAATGTCACACTCTTCAACTTTTGCAAGTCATGAATGCAACGAAAAACAAGCCCCCGGGTCAAGGAGTCGGGTATCTTGGTCTCGCCTGTGATCATCTCAAACACAAATGGATGATTACCTTCTATCTGTAGGTAATCAATTCCTTCAGTTATCGCAAAGTCAACTGCCCGGGAGAAAGCAGTTAAATGTGCCACTACACCGTCGCTGACCTTGCCAGAAGGTCCAGCAATGGCAGTTTTGAACACAGCATTGTGATCTCTCACAATGCAAGCAAAAGAACCGGTCCCTGATTCTGGCTCATGGTGACCAGCGAAGCTGATCTTCCATGCATTATTGGGGGGGCGAAGTCCATGAAATGTGCTGGGCAAGCACTATCTGATTAGCAAATAGCATATCTAGGAAAGGGCTTGCAGCCATATTTGTTTGTACCGAATGAGGCTAAAGCTTAGCAACTAACACACAATGGTTCCTAACTCGAACACAGAGACCCAAATTTATACTATGAGTTTACCTAATCTACTCGTCCAAAACAGGTTATCATGCCATTTCAGGTTATACGTTATAAGAAAGGTAAAAATCGTACTTTGGAAAGGGGCCGTTGAGTACAGTCCATTGCTTTCCAAATGCGAGAAATCTACCAAGTCTAGACATGCTAGAGATGGCAAGAGTCCGTTGCCAACGGTGTCATAATTTTGTAACATTTTGAGCGAAAAAATAATTGACATTCCGAATAATGAACATGACTGGATTTTCTTATAAAACTTGAGAACAGTTCAAGGGGTTGTTGGCAACGGTCATATAACTTATTGTCCAAGTTTAGTGGCTGTGTTTAAATTTGAACTCTAAAACATAATCGAACAAACCAGGTAGGCAACTTCTTCCCAAATTGCCGTAAGGAGGAAGAGTTAGGTTACAAATAGCAAAATATCATTGCCAAATGGTAACAGGACTGCCAAATTATAACAGGTTGACATCGAATGCTTAATTCAAAAGATATCAACAAGAATAACTTCAAGAGCTACGGAGTTATAGCCAACTAAGTGTGATTAGTAAAGGAAAGAACTTCTTCTTTAGCAAATCAAGTTACGGGGGTTTATGTGGAACTTAATTTTATGTGTTCTTGATATTCATAGGGCCTTCTAGTGTTCTTAGCTAGAACAGAAAGTCAGTACCTACTATGTGTCTGCAATGAAATATACGAGAGTATGACATGCCAGAAAATAAGATGGGCATCTTATCCTTGACGACGAGTAAAAGTTGTATGCAGTTCTTTTGTTCCCAACTTCAGTATGGTGTGTGTCTGTGGCCTTTCAGCCTCCGTGCCTTCGTGGTTACATTGGCAAACAAAAACTCCTTGGTATCAGGTTCAATGATGAGCATGAACCAAGAGTTCGGCAGGTATGAAGTTTAACTAATATCCCATATAGCTGAGAATGCTTAGAGCAAGATTCATCTTCTTCAAGTTAAGGGTTTTTAAGGCGTTCCATGACGATGCAAAACAAAATATCGAAGGACCCATAACTTGCGGAGAAATGCAGGACCTAATATAGAGAGTGAGAGGGAATGAAGTGTGCTGCTCTTTTGAGTGAAAAGCAAGCAAAATAAAGTTCAGAAAAATCTCCAATGTTCATATTTCTCCATTGCCAAGCAAGCATATATTCAAAGGAAGCTACAAAAAGTGAGAAAATTTACTTGTACACCTCTCCAAAAATTGACACACTCTTTAGTAATACAAACTAGTGAAGAGGAATCTCCTTTAATTAGTTTCACTTTATGTCCTGCCTATATATATATTCCAAGTGTGTTCTTGGGAGATGATTAAATTAAGCAGAAATTTCAGTTTGGTCTTTTTGAGTGTTTTTTATTTCAAGATGTATCGCATGCGATTGAGCATCATACCAATTTTCTACATCTCCATTTCAATCACTACTTTCTCCATTCTATGTGGTAAGCAAGCTCTTTTCTTTGTGTCTAGAATCATTAATGTCACCCTACTCGTGAGCGAGAGAAGCTTATATGCATATGGAGTGTTATTATGTTAATATTTCAAGACTATCACACAAGCAATGTGTTTTAACTTCTCAATTTGTACTGCGTGATTGACTTGAGATACTGTCATTGTGACAATATGTCAATGTGATAGTATCCTAAGCCTATCATGCAAGCAATGTGTTTTAATTTCCATGTTGTAGCATGTGATTGACTTGAGATACTGTTAGTGCGACGTGTGAATTGTATGCGTACTTCCCTTCCTACAACTTAAGTTACTTGAACAACTTTTACAACTAATTCTGTGGTTTGTTTTAGTGCAGATGCAAGAAGTTTTGCGCAATTCTTTAAACCCCAAGACACAAAACTACACAAAAGCAAATCAATCCATGAATTAGAGAAGAACAAGCTGAAAGCAATAAATCACTTGGACTTACATTTTGCGTTGGCTTCCCCAAATATTGAATTCCAACCGTTCGATGCCAGCTCTCCCTTCTCATCACCACCGTTGGATTCACCAGCACCGGGACATCTCCCTCTTCCAGCTCCAAACTCCGTATCCCCACCAATTCCTCCAAACCCACCTCTTGCAAATCCTCCTCCATCTGGGCCCACTTCCTCACCCATCCCAAGCCCACCACAAAATGGGCCTAGCCCACACCCACCAACCACAATCCCAACCCCACCCAAATCAGTCCTGAGCCCACCAGTCCTTCCGCCGCCAATAGCTTTCCCTCCACCGTCCGGACCGCCATCCCCTCCGCAGAAAAAGCCACCGCAGTTTGCCGTGTGGTGCGTGGTGAAGCCGACAGTGCCGGACCCGATAATCCAAGAAGCCCTGGACTATGCGTGTGGGTCCGGGGCAGACTGCAAGTCAATCCGGCCCAATGGGTCCTGCTACCAGCCCGACACATTGTTGTCGCATGCTTCGTATGCCTTCAATAGTTACTGGCAGAACACGAAGATCGCTGGAGGCACTTGTGACTTTGGAGGGACTGCCATGCTTGTCACAGTTGATCCAAGTAAGTCCAAATTTTTCCCATATCAAGATATATTTTTGGCATATTGCATTTGATATTTTCGCAGAACTTTCCTTCAAGGACACGTTGTTTCATTCAAGGACAAGTGGTTAAGTTCTTTAAAATTTCAAACGCTATTTTACTTTAGACTAATCTCAATTGCGACGGAAAAATTAAATAAGTTTGCCTACGTAGTCCAAATTCCTTACTAAATCCGGTGTTCTTTGTTTTCAAAAAGTTAATGCAAATCCCAAGAAACATATAATAATTCAATAAGCTGTGTAAGCTTTTTCTTTACTCGATGACTGGAAAATTGGATGCAAAAAACGCATGTTACAGACGTCGATACAGGATGAGGAACCATGACAAAAATTAAGTGTTTTTTTTTTCCTCTCTTTTTCCTCAAACGATAAACTAAATGTTTGGTAGAATATGATCCTGTCTTGGTTAATATATTAGGATTTAAATAGTAACATCCAGAAACAAAGAGATAATATTGAATGAAAATCAACATCTCTTTCCTGTAAGAGCAACTCCACCCATGTGGGTTGCTCGGGGGACAGTGGAGAAGAAGGGGCCGGAGGCCCGGTGGAGAGAGGTCCAGCCGTGTGGAGGCCGAGCGACGGTGGGAGCCCGAGCGAAGGGGGGTGGGGAGTCGACGGGCCTGTGGCCCGAGGACTTTGCAATTTTTTATTTTTTTTTGTGTCAGAGAGAGAGAGAGAGGGGTTTTTTATTATTTAAACAAACAAAAATTATTTTAATTGCTTATAGCCAGGGAGGAGGGTTTCAAGGGTGGAGATGTAAATGGCAATTACTGTTTATTAATGGTAGTTACTATTCATTTAAGGCAGTTACTGTTCAATAGGGTGGATTGAATAGTGGATTGCCAGGGGGAGGGCTCCATGGGTGGAGTTGCTCTAAGGGAGCAGGGTTGTTGGAAAAGGTAATCAAGGAAAAGCCATGCAGAACTTTGCATTTTGATTTGGACCCACAATCGATTTCAATTTGATTGAGTGTACCCCTAATGGGGAATGATTAATTCTTCAAAGTTTTGCTAGCTAGCTAGCATAACCTGCACGTTTATGGGTGACTGTGATGAATCGCAGTTTATTCTAATTAATAGTTAGGCAGTTGTTAAATGATTGATGAATCGAGATTTATACTTCTTAATGGCTGGGTGATTGTCAAATTATTGATGAATCAAGGTTTATATATGCTCCTCAATGGTTGGGCGATTGTCAAATTATTGATAAATCGAGGTTTATACTCCTCAATGGCTGAGTGATTGTCAAATTATTGATGGGTCAAGATTTATGCTCCTTATCGACACTTGACAGTCACGCAACAAATGTTACTAGGAATTCTCCAAAAACATATCTTACATCGTATTCGTTGGTGTCATTGCTCATCATGTGCATCTTTTGACCTTTACAAAAGATCATGTCTCTAGCTAAATTCCTATGACTCTTACATCTATGAAATATATGCTTATAGAGTTTAACGAGTAGTTGCAGGTGGCCTTCTACCACAGTGGTGGAGATGAATGACGTCAGTCAGTGGCAAATCTAATTTCTAACTTAACAACAATATCGCTCAACTTCCAAAAAAAAATGTTTAACAAGTAGTTAATTAATAATATTTATCTTTCTTACTTTAATTGTGGTGAGCAATATTTTTAGTATAATTACTTTATATTTTCTTATAGGGTGACCCTACACTAAATTTGCTTTATTTTATCTCTTTTACTTTAAATTGGTGTTGCTTTGATGAGTGACACAAGATGCTAACACATCCTCTGCATGATTGTGACATGGCAGGTTATGATGAATGCAATTTCTTCTTCAACGGATGATCTTGAAACATATATATATATATATATATATATATATATATATATAATATATATATATATATATATATATATATATATATATATATATATATATATATATATATATATATGACTCTATTAGCTATTACGAGATTAAGAAAGAAAAAATGCTAGGAAGATCAATTTTGTTAGACTATTTTTTGTTGATGCATAGTGTGGCAATTAATGGTTAGACTCATGTTTTAAAATAATTTAAAGAAAGAGTCTAACCATTAATCACCATATCATGTCAATTACAAATGATAATTTAAAATTTTTGGTTTCTCTAGCATCAAATTCTGTTAACTTAAAAATTTATTTATTTTTCAGAAGAGAGCTACACACTATGTATACATCACATTTTATTTAGGAGGAGTTCCATATTTGTGAGTGAAAATGGAACTTTGGCTAGAAGTAGTGGCACTTGAAAGTGAAGTTGTATTGATCATTTTGTCTTCCAGTGTCCACTTTATGTACATGGAATATACATGTTGGCTAGCTGTTGCAGATTCCCTTTGAGATTTCCAGATTGTCCAAAAACTGCATACACACATAGTTCTTTGATTTAGCAGGATTAAAAAGAATGGTGCTTTTATTTCACCAATAAGAAATAACTCATCATGAGTATGATCTCATCATTGATATTATGAGTTATTTCTTTGATTTAGCACGAATGAATTGATAAAGATCAAAAGTCAAAATTGATAAGGATGTATGAAAAGCAAAACTAGGTGCTAATAATACTATCCTTAATGTAAATAATATTGTTGGTGAAAAAAAACAAAAAAAACACTATCCTTAGTCAATTCTTTGGCGAACATAACTTTTCACATTACAAAATAATACAAACCCTAATGACTTTTCAAAGGTCGTTCGATGATCTTTTTGTGACGGTAAGTGAAGCATTACTCTTATCCTTAACTCGAAAAAATAAATTTAACCTATTATATATGTACATGATGGTTATATATATATACGCGCCATGCATGGACCAACGTCGTCTTACCCGGGCTTACACCACATGTACTTTCTGAAATGCAATTTCATGTGGCTAGGGTTAGCACCTATGTAAATTAAAAGAAAGAATAAATTACATTTTACTACTTCAATTTTAGGTTGCATAACAAACTCATACATCATATTTTAAACATTGCAATGCCATACATTAAATTACAAATTCGTTGTCATATCAAACTTCCGTTAAAAAAATCTATTAAGTTAGCCGTTTATCCATACAACCACTCAACGGTTAACGTAACAGATTTTTTAACAGCGGTCCGACATTTAACGAATTCGTAAGTTAATTGATGTAAACATTGGAATGATCAGAAGATGAGATATAAGTTTGTTATGTGACCCAAAATAAGATGGTAAAATGTAATTTACCCTAAAAGAAAGTTCCTGCATCCAAATTTCAAAAAACTGAATTTAATTTCAAAAATATACAGTAAGGTGTATGGCCGACACCCAAATGCGAATGCGATTGCTTCTGTCTATTCATAGGATAGGAATGGCTAAAGTTAAACTAAGAAAGAGGTAAACACTAGTTGACTAGTCCTATCCAAGGAAGGAAATGAACACCCCCATCCCCAAAAAAAAAAACCATATCCTTTTTAAGTTGAAAAAGTCTAGGGCCTATTTTGTTTGTGAAAGAATCACATGTGGTGGTTTTGGCATCATGAACCCAAATCACGGGTCGATCGACTAGCAAACTTCATGTTCAAACTTTGCCTATATCAAAATCCTTCCGAGTTTTCTTGATTTCTTACCTTTATCCTTAGCCACATATATGATTGGAATAGAAATTTGCAAGTTTCCAAATATATTAGATTGAAATGAATTTAGGCACACAAACATGAACAAATGGATTTAGTATTGATTCATTCAACTTCAAGTAAGCATTCTGCAAATCCCTCTCAATTCACTGTATCTATCATTTCAAATCCATTCATCTAATCTTTTACAATGCATTTCTAACTAATTTAACTTAAATTTAATGGTACATACAAATTTGTCTTCCAAAAGCATCACAATGCTCTTGTGCCGGATTACTTATATATCTATTAAGCATACTTACTGCATAAGCTAAGTCAGGCCTGGTCGAATTCATCGAATACATTAGACCTCCAATTACTTGAGAATATTCAAGTTGAGATATGACATTACTTTTATTTTTCTCCAACTTGAATCCAGCATCAAAAGTAGTTGCAGCAGGTTTGCAGTCAAATTAACCAAACCTTCGTAATATTTTTTCCGCATAATAGGACTGTGTAAGGACATACCCTTCACTATTTCTCTTAATGTGAAGTTGTATTGATCATATTGTCTTCCAGTGTCCATTTTATGTACATGGAATATACTTGTTGGCTAGCCGTTGCATATTCCCTTTGAGATTTCTAGATTGTCCAAAAACTGCATACACACATATTTCTATGATTTAGCAGGATTAAAAAGAAGGGTGCTTTTATTTCACCAATAAGTAATAACTCATAATGAGGATGACCTCATATAACATTCTAGAGTCTGTTTGATAATCATTCTTTTTTTATTTTTTATTCTATATGTTAAAGATAGAACATGAGAAAATGTGGGCATAGAAGAGTGGAGAAGTGATGTTGGGAAAGATGTAGAGAAGATGTGTAAAGAAAGGTGTACAAAACGAAATCTAAAAACTAAAATTTAAAATTATATACTTTGAATTGTTTTCACTTTCGAGATTTTGTTTTCATTCCTTCTTCTTTGTTTTGTCCCGTCGCTCCCTCGATCTTTCTTCATCCCTAATCTCCTCAATATATTTTGCCCATATCTCAAACAAAATATAAAAACTAATAGTAAATACCCAATGAAACTTGTTTCGTAACAAGCTAGCATTACTACTTTTTTTTTTTCCTCTCAAGAGTCGAGATAGAATATCTAGCTAGATCAATGTTTTTGTCGACAAAGATACCTTGCACCAAAAGTAGGCCAGCTGCTTTACCATTTTTAGACATACTTCAAATGGCGTCTAGTGACCGAGAGGTTGGACTTTCACCATTAAACGCCAATACACAGACTTGTTTGCAATAGGAAGATGATGACAATACATGCATGTGTTCATTATTTCCTCCATATTTATACAAAGGTAGTGCTATCCAAACACCTATTTTTACTGTTCACACACAATCTTAATTTTTGATAGTCGGAACGAATGAATTGATAAAGATCAAACACCAAAATTGATAAGGGTGTGTAGAAAGCAAAACTAGATGCTAAGAATACTATCCTTAATGTAAATATTATCGTTTATTAAAAACAAAAAACAAAAAAACACTATCCTTAGGCAATTCTTTGGCGAACATGACTTTTCACATTACAAAATAATACAAACCCTAATGACTTTTCAGATGTCATTCAATGATCTTTTTGTGACAACGGGTGAAGCATTACTCTTATCCTTAACTTGAAAAAATAAATTCAACCTATTATATATGTACATGATGGTTATATATATACATGCCATGCATGGACCAACGTCGGCTCACCCGGCTTACACCACCTGTACTTTCTGAAATGCAATTTCACGCAGCTAGGGTTAGCACCTATGTAAATTAAAAGAAAGAATGAATTACATTTTACTACCTCAATTTTATGTCGCATAACAAACTCATACATCATATTTTAAACATTGCAACGTCATACATTAAATTACGAATTCATATCAAACTTCCATAAAAAAAAATATGTCAAGTTAGCCGTTTATCCACATAATCACTTAACGGTTAACTTAACATATTTTTTAACAGTGGTCAAACATTTAACGAATTCGTAAGTTAATTGATGTAAACATTGTAAGGATTAGAAGATGAGATATAAGTTTGTTATGTGACCCAAATAAAGTGATAAAATATAATTTACTCTAAAAGAAAGTTCCTACATTCAAATTTCAAAAAAAACAAAATTTAATTTCAAAAATATATAATAATGTGTATGGCCGACACCCAAATGCGAATGCGATTGCTTCTCATTCATAGGATAGGAATGGCTAAACTTAAACTGAGAAAGAGGTAACACTAGTTGACTAGTACTATCCAAGGAAGGAAACGAACACCCCATCCCCAAAAAAACACCTTGTCCTTTTTAAGTTGAAAACCTATTTTTGTCCCCATGCCCATCTTTTGATAATTAATTATATGAGAATTGTTATTAACATTTCAAAAATCTTATGTTACACTCCAAACTTTCTATATTAGGAAAAATTAATTATATGAGAATTGTTATTAACACTTCAAAAATCTTATGTTACACTCCAAACTTTCTATATTAGGAAAGAAAAATACACGTATGAGAAGTGTAGAATGAAATTTTTGGAGTGCCAATAACACTTTCCAATTATATATTAATTATCAATTAGTACACCACAAAGTTCAACTCCAAGATTTGAGTTTATTCTCTATGGTTTATTACTTCAATTGCTTTCTATAAGGGATAAAACCTTATAAAGTAAGGGAACTTTTTAATAATGACCAATGTGGGACAATGAAATTTCTACTCAAAATTTTCAACATCTCTCTCTATCAAGCACACACACTAACACTTAGGTCTGTCTCAGTACCCATAAAGCCTCTATAAAGCCATTTGCTTGGTATTGGGTTTCAACATCCAGTTTTGTACTCAACTCTCTGGAGAGTTGTGGAGTTGTAGTATTGACATGGAGATCAATTATGCTCTGGCTTTGCTCTTAGTCCTCATTCTCAACTTGGGTAGTTTGCTCACTTCTCTTGCTAACTCCTATTGCCCACCACCGCATGTCAAACCACCTCATGCAAAGCCTCCTCCTCATGTACCCACGAAACCACCTCATGTTAAACCACCCATTGTAAAGCCACCTCCCTATCCGAAACCTCCTGTTCCCAAACCACCTCCCCATCCCAAACCTCCTGTTGTGAAACCACCACCTGTTGTAGTGCCAAGCCCACCACCAACACCAACACCAACCCCAGTTGTCCCAGTGAAGCCTCCTCCACCCACCGAAACACCATGCCCTCCTCCACCACCAAAGTTAGTACCACCACCACCATCTCCACCAAAGGACACGTGTCCCATCGACACCCTAAAATTGGGAGCTTGTGTAGATGTGTTGGGTGGTCTTATCCACATTGGAATTGGAAGCAGTGCCAAAGATACATGTTGTCCGGTGCTTCAGGGACTGGTGGACTTGGACGCTGCTATTTGCCTTTGCACCACCATCAAGGCTAAGCTTCTCAATGTCAACCTCATCATCCCCATTGCTCTTCAGGTGCTCATTGCTTGTGGGAAGACTCCTCCCTCTGGATTCCAGTGTCCTGCATAGATGATCATCATATCTTATTCCTAAATCACACTTAGTAGTTGTTAATCATGTCATCATTAGTGATATGTGGCGCCGGCTAGCTGATAATAAAGCATGTCAAAGCTTGGAAGTAAAAACTACATGAGGATAAATCTGTTATTCGTTTTTGTTTTGTTTTGTTTACTTGAAGAGTGTATCAGATCGATAGACTGGTAATTTAGTCATGTTATTTTCTTGAACCTTGGAAGTATATATAATAACCTGAGTTTAAAGAAGACCTTCATTTTTCACCGTTCGTCAATCTCCTGTAGAGGACTTACATGGAACACCACCACCGTGCCCGTGACATCATGGTCTAATAATACAACTTCATTTGTAATTAAAGAAACTCACATATGACATTATATTATTGAACTGAGACACTAGTGTAAATATTTTAAATTGATGATAGGATTCTTCACTATATTCTTATAGAGTCGAGTAGTAGTTTTATAAAATCATCAAAATTAGAGCTCAAATAACCATTAAATTATGATTTTTTCGTTTCTAACCGTCGAAGAATTTCGTCCTGTTACCTAATATAGTAATACTGGTGATTTTTGGTGTGTGCAATCTTAGAGTATATACAAATAAGTTTGACAGCTTGATTGTTGAAATTAATTTTGCAGACATCGAAAATCATCTAAGGAACTAAATACGCCAATCATGTCTGTTACCTCTGCCTTATGAAATATATGTTGGAAAATATTAGTATTTAGGTTTATTTTAGTATTTGGGTTTTGCTTGTTAGTTTAGGATTTGTGCTTAGCCCATCCGAGTTAGGGTTTCGTAGGTTTAGTTCTCTATAAATAGAGCTTGTAATTTAGTTTGACAATAAGTTAGCCACAATGTAGTCTCTTAGGGTTTTGTAGCCGCTTCGGCATTCTCAGTTTGTTTAATAATATTCTTATTATTTGTTAGTCTTGTTTGTTGCGCACTGATATTCAACTTGGTATCAGAGTAGGTTTGATTCTTCGGGATCTAATCTGCTTCTGTTTGTTCGTATCAGTTTTATTTCTTTCCAGTTTCCATCCGTAAATTTTTTACGTTTTCTGGTTTGGTTTTTCAGTTTGTCCTTGGTAGTCTTCAAGAAAGGAAAAAAAAATTCTGTTTTTGAAAAAAAAGAATTTGGTGAATTTGTCTCACACCCAAATTTGAAAATGCTCCATCGCACTAAGATTTCTGCATTCCCCAGCCCCACCTTGCATCTGGATCCGTCCACAACCGTACACCTGCGAAAAAAAAGAAACAAGAAAAAAGAAAGGCTAATGTTGCTGGTTGGTTCACACAGAAGAAAAATAAGGAAGGAAGAAGGAAGAAAAAAAAAGCGGGGGGGAAAAGGAAGGAAAAAAAATTGGTTGTTTTGAGGTTTTGTTGCCCTCGTATTCTTGCATTGGGTATGGTATTGGAATTTGGCATTGGGCATGGTATTGGAATTTGGCATTGGTATTGGTATTGGCATTGGCATTGGTACTGGTATCGGCATTGACATCTGCATTGGCATTGGCATTGGCATTGGCATTGGCATTGGCATTGGCATCGGCATCGTCATTGGTATTGGCATCGGCATCGGCATCGGCATTGGTATTGGTATTAGCATCGGCATCGGCATTGGCATCGGCATCGGCATCGGCATCGGAATTTGGAGGCTTGCATCCACATCTGCTTGTTGGCAAACTCATGTCGTGTACCACCATGAGTTTGACGGGAGGTGTTGGAAAATATTAGTATTTAGGTTTATTATAGTATTTGGGTTTTGCTTGTTAGTTTAGGATTTGGGCTTAGCTCATCCGAGTTAGGGTTTCGTAGGTTTAGTTCTCTATAAATAGAGCTTGTAATTTAGTTTGACAATAAGTTAGCCACAATGTAGTCTCTTAGGGTTTTGTAGCCGCTTCGGCATTCTCAGTTTGTTTAATAATATTCTTATTAATTGTTAGTCTTGTTTGTTGCGCACTGATATTCAACTATATAAACCCTAATTACAACATATACCTTTGAGTGACGAAAGCTGGAAGGTTCGTCGTGTAAAGGTTGCCATTTTATGTGCCAAACTTTTATCTTGGTGCGAAAACTTTAACCCACGACGTAAGCTTTGCTCGTCGAACTCTGTTCGCCGGGCAAAAGCATCTGCAAAAACCAAAACGTTTGACCGTTTTGCTCGACAAACGTTTATTTTGTCAGGTAAAGACTATTTGGCCGACAAAATACCGTTCGTCTAGCAAAACTTTGTCAGAAAAATGGTAATTTCTGGTTATGTATGATAAAACTTTGTCGGACAAATGATAATTTTTGGTAGTGTATCATATATATATATATATATATATATATATATAGAGGTTTCTCTCCCTTGTGTGTGTATGTCTGTATCTGTTGATATAGCGTGTTTGCAGGTTCACGTGAATGTGTAGACTGTAGTGCATTGAATTATTTTAATTGCATTCGTTTGTAAGATATCAGTAGGAATAAAATATCAACGTCAAGGCTTAAAAAAAAATATCAACGTCAGGTACCACATGTAAGATACATGCAACACGTACAACTTTCTTATGGATTTTGGAAGTTTGTCTATATTTATACCAAGGCTTCCAAAAATACGAGCCTTCTCCTCTCCTGCATCCAAGTCCTGCTGAACAAGGAAGAAAATATCGGTAATATCGGAAATATCGGTAGTCCGAAAACATGGAAATATCGATGGAAATATCGGGATAATATCGATATCGATAAAAATTACATGGAAACCACGGAAATTGTAAGAAAAACTTGGAAATTTTTATTAAAACTTTGCAGGATGTTTATTTAGTCAATTATCTATTAGTTTATCACAAAAAAATTGGAAGGAAATGCATTGCATGATGGATTTAACTGATTTAAGTTGATTATATAGCGAGCTGGCAAACATTGTGAGTGTAGAAAATATATAATAATTAATGAAAGAAGTTTAAACACACCATAATCATTTATATATAATGAATTAGTACAATATTTTACACTTTATACATTGCATGGTAAGATACATGAGTGACTAAGTACCACATAGAGTTCCTATGAGGTTCAAAATTTTCACTATCTTCATCATCACTATGTGTAGAGTAAGTGTATTGTGAAGAGTAGTTAGCAACCATGGCAATGACTTTCAAGAACCGAAACCCAAAAGTCAATAGGAAACCGAATACTTCGGTATTTTTCGGGATTTCAGGATTACCAAACAAATGGGATTTGGAAAACCAATCCCATATCGAAAATTTCGGTATTTTTCGGGATGGTTTTGGTTTGGGACTTTTTCGGTTTGGTTTGGGATTTTCGGGAATTTTTTCCAACCATACATGTAAGTGACCAAATAAAAAATAGAAAAATTAAAAACCACATGCCATTGACTAAGTAATTAATTGACACAATTTAAAATATAATACCACAAAAAATTTGGAATATGTGCAAATTTGTTTCTTGCAAAAAGAATTCAAAACAAAACCATATATATAAATAGTTTAGCATGTTTTCACAAAAACGTAAGTGGTATAGTGGTCAAGTTGCTGAAGGAGTTAGATGGGAGGGGTTCGAATCACTTTATGTGCATGTTTGAGACTTTTCAGAAATTTTCAAATATTTTTAGGTTCATCTCGCGATATATAATATCGCGATAATATCGATATTATCGCGATATATTAACGATAATTATAAAAATACTCACGAAATATCGTTATATGAAAAAACGATAATATCGGCGATATTATCGATTTTTAAATCTATGCTGCTGAATCACATCCACCAAATCCAAAGGGGATTGGGAATATAATTGCTCCATCACACTCAATTATTGTTCGTGTAATGTTTTCTTTGCACAACATTTTAATTCAAATTTCACCATGTTTTTTTATGTTTCAATTATTTGATCAATTTATTGGAGGAAAAAAAAACACAGGTTAGCGATCGTACGATCGATATCGACCACCATATCGACAATACAGAGGGAAAAAGAATAAGACATGTCATCACCTAACATTTTTAATAATGTCACTAAAACATTTCAAGTTCCAATTCAATCAACCTTTCCTGTCAGCAACATATGTCTCGCACCGACCTCTCAACACAAAGCACTTATGTCACTCCTACGAGAAATTCTAAGATCCGACCGAACAAGCCAAGACACAAAAAACCCTTCCCCTATCCCACCCCGATTTTAACATGTTAACCTGGCCTGCTTTTAGTCTCACTCTCCTCTCACACCACCTCCAAGTCGAATGTCCTAGCTACACAAAAATCTGTCTCCAGTCTTTTTATAATCCTGCTCTGGTAACCTCAGTTGAATGGCAGGATAAATTTGAATGGGGGGAGGAAAAAAAACCGCTAAATTATGTGTCGGATCATTTGTGCATCATGTAGTACTCAAATTAATGTGGTGTAAAATGTGGTTTCGTTAGTAGTTTGATGCCTCAGGTTTTCTGCTTTCTTTTGGTAATCACATTATTATAGCGCACCACTTAATTAGCACACCATTTGATAACTCCCTAGCTAGTATATACGTAATTTTTTTATCTCATTCATTTTTCTTCCTAGTCTCTCTTCTTTTCATTTCTTTTTTTCCAATTAGAGGAAACAATGCTAAGATATATAATTTTGATATGAACCCTAAACCGTAATTTTATATATGAACCATAAACCCCAAGTTTTTATCTGATCATTTTGGTGGAAATAATCTTTTTTTTTTTTGTTTAAAACGAACAAAATTGTTTGTAGGGCGAGTTTTGAAAAATTCAGTGATTCACAAATAAAGATGGGCGTCCACATATTTGTAAACTTTGGCAAGGCTGGGTTGTCAAGGAAATAGGTGTCCAGAGGCAATGTTTGGGTGTAAACAGAACTACTCATATCAAACTCACGAAAACATCCTTGAATATTATTGGGCTACATGCGCGAAAACATTTGAACTACCCTTATCTAAATTTCCCCCCTTACTCCTGAGCAGAGTAAAACCCTGGTCATTTCTTGAGGAAGAAGACGACGACGAATTGGAGAAAAATAGGGCGCTGAGCTGAACAGCGGCTAAAAGCATAAATTTTCTTTGTCCATCTGCACGAACAGAGCGCCAGAAAAACTGGGCAAGATCCTCATTTTTCAACGTTTGTCTTATTAATTAGCTTCTGATGAAATTTCATTCGCATATTGTGGTTTTATCTGTTTGATGAGATTTTAATGTAGAGTTTGTATCTGTTCGATGAAATTTCATTCGCATATTGTGGTTTTAGCATGTGATTGACTTGAGATAGTATTAGTACGACGTGTTAATTGCATGCGTACTTCCGTTCTTACAACTTAAGTAACTTGAACAACTTTTACAACTAATTCTGTGGTTTGTTTTAGTGCAGATGCAAGAAGTTTTGCGCAATTCTTTAAACCCCAAGACACAAAACTACACAAAAGCAAATCAATCCACGAATTAGAGAAGAACAGACTGAAAGCAATAATCACTTGGACTTGCATTTTACGTTGGCTTCCCCAAATATTGAATTCCAACCGTTCGATGCCAGCTCTCCCTCCTCATCACCACCGTTGGATTCACCAGCACCGGGACATCTCCCTCTTCCAGCCCAAAACTCCGTATCCCTACCAATTCCTCCACACCCACCTCTTGCAAATCCTCCTCCATCTAGGCCCACTTCCTCACCCATCCCAAACCCATCACAAAATGGGCCTAGCCCACACCCACCAACCACAATCCCAACCCCACCCAAATCAGTCCTGAGCCCACCAGTCCTTCCGCCGCCAATAGCTTTCCCTCCACCGTCCGGACCGCCATCCCTTCCACAGAAAAAGCCACCGCAGTTTGCCGTGTAGTGCGTGGTGAAGCCGACAGTGCCGGACCCGATAATCCAAGAAGCCCTGGACTATGCGTGTGGGTCCGGGGCAGACTGCAAGTCGATCTGGCCCAATGGGTCCTACTACCAGCCCAACACCGTATGCTTCGTATGCCTTCAATAGTTACTGGCAGAACACGAAGATCGCTGGAGGCACTTGTGACTTTGGAGGGACTGCCATGCTTGTCACGGTTGATCCAAGTAAGTCCAAATTTTCCTCATATCAAGATATTATTTTGGCATATTGCATTTGATATTTTCGCAGAACTTTCCTTCAAGGACAAGTTGTTTCATTCAAGGACAAGTAGTCATTTCTTTAAAATTTCAAACGCTATTTTACTTTAGACTAATCTAAATTACGATGGAAAAATTAAATAAGTTTGCCTATGTATCCAAATTCCTTACTAAATCTAGTGTACTTTGTTTTCAAAAAGTTAATACAGATCCGAATCTTTTTTTTTGTTTTTTTTTGGGGTTAAGAACCCTAATCGTTGTTAATGGCGGGTGACAGCATGAGAGTATCACTTGACAAAACGATAACTTTCGTTTACTCGATTATCTTGTCCTTAACTATAATGGTAATCAAATTATAGAACTTTGAAGAAGATAATTAGAAGTACACGTCCATGAGTGCAAATTTAATTTATAAACCTACAAGCAGACCTACATATCTTAGATTCCCAAGAAACATATAATAATTCAGTAAGCTGTAAGCTCTTTCTTTACTCGATGACTGGAAAATTGGACATGGAAAACGCATGCTACAGACGTCGATACAGGATGAGGAACCATGACAAAAACTAAGTGTTTTTTTCCTCTCTTTTTCCTCAAACGATAAACTAATGTTTGGTAGAACATTATCCTGTCTTGGTTAATATATTAGGATTTAAATAGTAACATCCAGAAACAAAGAGATAATATTGGATGAAAATCAACGTCTCTCTCTTCTGTAAGGGAGCAGGGTTGTTGGAAAAGGTAATCAAGGAAAAGCCATGCAGAACTTTGCATTTTGATTTGGACCCTCAATCGATTTCAATTTGATTGAGTGTACCCCTAATGGGGAATGATTAATTCTTCAAAGTTTTGCTAGCTAGCTAGCATCACCTGCACGTAAATGGGTGACTGTGATAAATCGCAATTTATTATCATTAATAGTTAGGCAGTTGTCAAATTATTGATGAATCGAGATTTATGCTCCTCAATAGCTGAATGATTATCAAATTATTGATGGGTTGAGATTTACACTCATCGACACTTGACAATCACGCAACAAATGTTACTAGGAATTCTCCAAAAAAATATCTTACATCGTATTCATTGGTGTCATTGCTCATCATGTGCATCTTTTGACCTTTACAAAAGAACCTGTCTCTAGCTAAATTCCTATGACTCTTACATCTATGAAATATATGCTTATAAAGTTTAACAAGTAGTTGCAGGTGGCCTTCTACCACAGTGATAGAGATGAGTGACGCCCTTGCATGATGGCGTGGGTTCGAACTCCGTCAATGACAAATTTACTTTCTAACTTAACAACAATATTGCTCAACTCCCAAAAAAAAAAAAAAGTTTAACAAGTAGTTAATTAGTAATATTTATCTTTCTTACTTTAATTGTGGTGAGATATCTTTAGTATTACTTTATATTTTCTTATAGGGTGACCCCACACTAAATTTGCTTAATTTTATCTCTTTTGCTTTAAATTGGTGTTGCTTTGGATGAAGGATACAAGATGCTAACACATCCCTTGCATGATTGTGACATGGCAGGTTATGATGAATGCAATTTCTTCTTCAACGGATGATCTTGAAACATACATACATGTATATATATATATATATATATTAGCTATTACGACATTAAGAAAGAAAAAAATGTTAGGAAGATCAAATTTGTTAGACTATTTTTTGTAGACTCATGATGTGGTGGTTGATGGTTGGACTCATTTTTTTTAATAATTTAAATAAATAGTCTAACCATCAATCGCCACATCATGATAGTTTAAAATTTTATTTATTTTTTAGAAGAGATCTACACACTATGTATACATCACATTTTATTTAGGAGTTCCATATTTGTGAGTGCAAACGGAACTTTTGGCTGTAGAAGTAGCGGCACTTGAAAGTGAAGTTGTATTGATCTTCTTGTCTTCCAGTGTCCATTTTATGTACATGGAATATACCTGTCGGTTAGCTGTTGCATATTCCCTTTGAGATTTCCAGATTGTCCAAAAACTGCATACACACATATTTCTTTGATTTAGCAGGATTAAAAAGAAGGGTGCTTTTATTTCACCAATAAGAAATAACTCATAATGACGATGATCTCATATAACATTGTAGAGTCTGTTTGATAATTATTCATATTTTAGTTTTTATTCTATATGTTAAAGATAGAACATGAGAAAATGCGGGCATAGAAGAGTGGAGAAGTGATGTTGGGAGAGATGTAGAGAAGATGTGTAAAGAAAGGTGTACGAAATGAAATCTAAAAACTAAAATTAAAAATTATGTACTTTGAATTGTTTTCACTTTCGAGATTTTATTTTCATTCCTTCTTTGTTTTGTGCCGTCGCTCCCTCGACCTTTCTTCATCCCTAATCTCCTCAATATATTTTGCCCATATCTCAAACAAAATATAAAAACTAATAGTACATACCCAATGAAACTTGTTTCGTAACCAGCTAGCATTACTACCTTTTCTTTTCCTCTCAAGAGTCGCGATAGAATATCTAGCTAGATCAATGTTTTTGTCGACAAAGATACCTTGCACCAAAAGTAGGCCAGCTGCTTTACCATTTTTAGACATACTTCAAATGGCGTCTAGTGACCGAGAGGTTGGACTTTCACCATTAAACACCAATACACAGACTTGTTTGCAACAGGAAGACGATGACAATACATGCAAGTGCTCATTATTTCATCGGTATTTATATAAAGGTAGTGCTATCCAGACACCTATTTTTACTTCTCACACACTATCTTAATTTTCGATTGTCGGAACAAATGAATTGATAAAAATCAAATGCCAAAATTGATAAGGGTGTGTGGAAACCAAAGCTAGATGTTAATAATAATATCCTTAATGTAAATAATATCGTTGGTTAAAATAAAAAACACTATCCTTAGTCAATTCTTTGGCGAACATGACTTTTCACATTACAAAATAATACAAACCCTAATGACTTTTCAGAGGTCGTTCGATGATCTTTTTGTGGCAGCAAGTGAAGCATTACTCTTATCCTTAACTTGAAAAAATAAATTCAACCTATTATATATGTACATGATGGTTATATATATACGCACCATGCATGGACCAACGTCGTCTCACCCGGGCTTACACCACATGTACTTTTTGAAATGCAATTTCATGCAGCTAGGGTTAGCACCTATATAAATTAAAAGAAAGAATAAATTACACTTTACTACTTTAATTTTATGTCGCATAACAAACTCATACATCATATTTTAAACATTGCAATGTCATACATTAAATTACGAATTTGTTGTCATATCAAACTTCCGTTAAAAAATCTGTTAAGTTAGCCGTTTATCCACACAACCACTCAACGGTTAACTTAACAGATTTTTTTAATAGCGGTCCAACATTTAACGAATTTGTAAGTTAATTGATGTAAACATTGGAATGATCAGAAGATGAGATATAAGTTTGTTATGTGACCCAAAATGAGGTGGTAAAATATAATTTACCCTAAAAAAAATGTTCCTACATCCAAATTTCAAAAAAACAAAATTTAATTTCAAAAATATATAGTAAGGTGTATGGCCGACACCCAAATGCGAATGCAATTGCTTCCGTCTATTCATAGGAATGGCTAAACTTAAACTAAGAAAGAGGTAACACTGGTTGACTAGTCCTATCCAAAGAAGGAAATGAACACCCCCATCCACACCTCCGCCCCCCCCACCCCGCAACCAAAAAAAACACCATATCCTTTTTAAGTTGAAAAAGTATAGGGCCTATTTTTGTCCCCATGGTTTTTTCTTTTTTATTTTTATTTTTATTTTTTATACAAGAAAATTTTGTTTGTGAAAGCATCACATGTGGTGGTTTTGGCATCATGAACCCAAATCACGGGTCGACTAGCAAACTTCATGTTCAAACTTTGCCTATATCAAAATCCTTCCGAGTTTTCTTGATTTCTTACCTTTATCCTTAACCACATATATGAATAGAAATTTGCAAGTTTACAAAAATATTAGATTGAAATTTTTTAAATGAATTTAAGCACACAAACACGAACAAATGGATTTAGTATTGATTCATTCAACTTCAAGTAATCATTTTGCAAATCCCTCTCAATTCACTGTATCTATCATTTCAAATTCATTCATCTAATCTTTTACAATGCATTTCTAAATAATTTAACTTAAATTTAATGGTACGTACAAATCTGTCTTCCAAAGGCATCCCAATGCTCTTGTGTCGGATTACTTGTATATCTGCTAAGCCTACTTACTGGATAATCTAAGTCAGGCCTAATCGAATTCATCAAGTACATTAGACTTCCAATTACTTGAGAATATTCAAGTTGAGATATGGCATTGCCTTTATTTTTCTCCAACTTGCATCCAGCATCAAAAGAAATTGCACCAGGTTTGCAGTGTCTATTTTGTGTAAGGACATACCCTTCACTATTTCTCTTAATGTGAAGTTGTATTTATCTTCTTGTCTTCCAGTGTCTATTTTATGTACATGGAATATACCTGTCGGCTAGCTGTTGCATATTCCCTTTGAGATTTCCAGATTGTCCAAAAATTGCGTACACACATATTTCTTTGATTTAGCAGGATTAAAAAGAAGGGTGCTTTTATTTCACCAATAAGTAATAACTCATAATGAGGATGATCTCATATAACATTATTGAGTTTATTTGATAATCATTCTTTTTTTAGTTTTTATTCTATATGTTAAAGATAGAACATGAGAAATGTGGGCATTGAAGAATGGAGAAGTGATGTTGGGAAAGATGTAGAGAATATGTGTAAAGAAAGGTGTACAAAACGAAATCTAAAAACTAAAATTTAAAATTATATACTTTGAATTGTTTTCACTTTCGAGATTTTGTTTTCATTCATTCTTCTTTGTTTTGTTCCTTCACTCCCTCGACCTTTCTTCATCCCTAATCTCCCCAATATATTTTGCCCATATGTCAAACAA